CCAGTCTTTTCGTTGGTGCCACTCCATTTGAAACGACCGTGCTATTTCTGTCCCAAGCTCAGGCATTGTGCTTCCATTGTTTATCACTCCCTGTTTTGATAGAAAGCCCAATTTTGATTTAAAAAAAAATAATTAAGGTTAAATAGAACGTTTTACATTTTTGCAGCCGCTGGAATTTTTTTTCCGCTAGAGCTGGCTAACGTGGAGGGAGAGCGAGCGTCAATTACGTGGGCTCAAGACACGCCCCCTCTCGGTGAGGCAGATGTGATAGCTGCCTCACTGAGTGGGAAGTGTCATCACTGAGGGGGGGCGTGTCTTCACTATGCAGCCAATCAGATGCAGCCATTCATGAGAGCGCCCTTCGACCTCGGGACTGGCTTCGTTGACATGATAGGGGCCATCCATTTAGTACATACGCAAAAATGTGTCAACTTAACCCCTTGCCTGTACGCACGCGTACTTTTTACACCCCTCCACCTGCACACGTACGCTTGACGCACCACCCCCCCACCTCCGCCGAATCCTATAGAACGGCCGATATTTAATCCGCGCAGAAACGATGAAGGATGAATAATATGAACGTGTTTAAGCAAACAGATAGTCCACCGCCGGCTGCATTGAAGAATTTAAGTTTGCGTATCTCGGCCACTTATTTTTCTGAGCTGCGTGATAGCGAGCAGTCGGGGGGGGGGGGCACGGTGGCACACGAGTGACACCTCTCCCCCCACAGTCCCACCTCTCCCGGTACGACTCGTGGCCTGACAGCTGAAGAAACTGAACTGTGGCTCATTTGAAGGCCAATGTAGACAATTTATTATCGTGGCTTCACCCTCCACACCCCCCCCCTCCCCACCCCCGTTTCCTACGCGTACGTACATTGTCAGTACTAAATGGATGGCACCGGTGGGAAGCAGCTCTCTCTCTCTCTCTTTCTGTCTTGCGTACCGATGTAAGGTCCTATATTTCAGGGGTCCCCAACCCCCGGGCCACGGACCGGTACCGGTCCGTGGCCTGTTAGGAACCGGGCCGCACAGCAGCAGGAGGTGAGAGCGGTGAGTCCGTGCGTGGTCCACCCCCATTATTTCATTATTCACCACTTCCGTCCGCGCCTCTTTCCCGCACTGCGCACCCAGTCTCAGTCACAGTGCTGGTATGAAGCCCACAAGCTCTAACCCCTAGCAGCCACAATGGGTAACCAACAAACGTAGCCGGAGAGCTTCTTTGAAAAGAGGGAAAGACCTAATGATGAACCCTCTCCCCCGGTCCGTGAAAAAAATTGTCTTCCACGAAACCGGTCCCTGGTACCAAAAAGGTTGTGGGGACCGCTGCTGCATTCGATGAACAGTTATTTCGTGGAGCTGATGCAAAAATAAAAGTTAACCGAGCGACTGCCGCACAGCATTGTGGGATGGCATTAGCGCGGATGATGCAATATACGAAAAGAAAGCGTTATTATTTTTAATTGGAAATGTTTGGTTGAGCTTCGCAGTGGTCATTACTGCCAAGTTCCATTCAATTCGCGCAGCCCATTAATTTAATTCCCACCGCCCCCCCCCCCGCCGCTCCACACACTTCTGTAATTCCTGTCGGGAAATGTACCAATCGCACGCCCATCTGCTGCCAAGTGCTCATTGGAGACTTGGTTTAAACATGCAGTCGTCGGCTTTTGCGATCAGTATTATTCACGATAACGGTTTCTTGGGTAAAACCTATTCTTTATTTTTTTTCATAGTCTTTAAGGTTTTACGTACAAAGCCGTGCCTGGCAATGCGCGGACGAAGAGCTGTCAGCCCGGAGCGGTTCCTACGGATCGTAATTTCGGCAGGAATTAGTTTTTTTTGTCCGTCGCGCCCCCGCGGGAATCTTTCGCCGGAGTCTCGGTGTGACCGAGTTACCCGACCGACGCATTGCTGAGTTTAATCCCGACGGCGATCGACGTGCTGCTGGTGGTTCTACGCGCTACTTTTGCGGACCGCCGAGGAAGAGCAGTGTAGCTCAGTTGGCCTTGCGCGGTGAGTAGGAATACAAAAATATATATATATACAGTGAGGGAAAAAAGTATTTGATCCCCTGCTGATTTTGTACGTTTGCCTACTGACAAAGAAATGATCAGTCTATAATTTTAATGGTAGGTTTATTGAACAGTGAGAGACAGAATAACAACAAAATCCAGAAAAACGCATGTCAAAAATGTTATGAATTGATTTGCATTTTAATGAGGGAAATAAGTATTTGACTGCCTCTCAATCAGAAAGATGTCTGGCTCCCAGGTGTCTTTTATACAGGTAACGAGCTGAGATTAGGAGCACTCTTAAAGGCAGTGCTCCTAATCTCAGCTTGTTACCTGTATAAAAGACACCTGTCCACAGAAGCAATCAATCAATTAGATTCCAAACTCTCCACCATGGCCAAGACCAAGAGCTCTCCAAGGATGTCAGGGACAAGATTTTAGACCTACACAAGGCTGGAATGGGCTACAAGACCATTGCCAAGCAGCTTGGTGAGAAGGTGACAACAGTTGGTGCGATTATTCGCAAATGGAAGAAACACAAAAGAACTGTCAATCTCCCTCAGCCTGAGGCTCCATGCAAGATCTCACCTCGTGGAGTTGCAATGATCATGAGAACGGTGAGGAATCAGCCCAGAACTACACGGGAGGATCTTGTCAATGGTCTCAAGGCAGCTGGGACCATAGTCACCAAGAAAACAATTGGTAACACACTACGCCGTGAAGGACTGAAATCCTGCAGCGCCCGCAAGGTCCCCCTGCTCAAGAAAGCACATATACATGTCCGTCTGAAGTTTGCCAATGAACATCTGAATGATTCAGAGGACAACTGGGTGAAAGTGTTGTGGTCAGATGAGACCAAAATGGAGCTCTTTGGCATCAACTCAACTCGCCGTGATTGGAGGAGGAGGAATGCAGCCTATGACCCCAAGAACACCATCCCCACCGTCAAACATGAAGGTGGAAACATTATGCTTTGGGGGTGTTTTTCTGCTGAGGGGACAGGACAACTTCACCGCATGAAAGGGACGATGGACGGGGCCATGTACCGTCAAATCTTGGGTGAGAACCTCCTTCCTTCAGCCAGGGCATTGAAAATGGGTCGTGGATGGGTATTCCAGCATCACAATGACCCAAAACACACGTCCAAGTCAACAAAGGAGTGGCTCAAGAAGAAGGACATTAAGGTCCTGGAGTGGCCTAGCCAGTCTCCAGACCTTAATCCCATAGAAAATCTGTGGAGGGAGCTGAAGGTTCGAGTTGCCAAACGTCAGCCTCGAAACCTTAATGACTTGGAGAAGATCTGCAAAGAGGAGTGGGACAAAATCCCTCCTGAGATGTGTGCAAACCTGGTGGCCAACTACAAGAAACGTCTGACCTCTGTGATTGACAACAAGGGTTTTGCTACCAAGTACTAAGTCAAGTTTTGCAGAGGGGTCAAATACTTATTTCCCTCATTAAAATGCAAATCAATTCATAACATTTTTGACATGCGTTTTTCTGGATTTTTATGGTGTTATTCTGTCTCTCACTAATGAAATAAACCTTCCATTAAAATTATAGAATGATCATTTCTTTGTCAGTGGGCAAACGTACAAAATCAGCAGGGGATCAAATACTTTTTTCCCTCACTGTACGTTCAATTGATTTCGAGAACGTTTGAAAGTGTCGCGTGAAACTCATCATTACTGGCCGAGACTGATTCGGAGAACCCATTGAAATGGAGGGAAATACAAATGATTGCAACCGCTCTGACAGCTGCAGGCTTAGTGCGGCCTGAAAGCGTTTTATTGAGTAATAGATATTACAACAGCATTCCTTATAGAGGAATCACTTGCTAGTTAACTGATTACTAATCGATTATATCATTGCACCTGATGGGTTCAGTGATGATATCATGATATCACCTTGCTCTATTTAACACCAGAAGCAGGTGGATGGCTTCATTATTCTGGCAAATCGCCCGATGGTGTTGGTTGATGTAATCACCAGCGAAATGTCACGGCACTCAAATTGTAAATGTTGTTGATGTACTCCCCAACACACCGGTGCGCTGAAGTAGTATAGTACACTATACACTACACTGCACTATACCCTACACTATACACTACACTATACATTACTATACACTATTATACACTACACTGTACACTACCCTACACTATACTATATACTACACTATTATACACTACACTGTACACTACACTGCACTATACCCTACACTATACACTACACTATACACTACACTATTATACACTACACTGTACACTACACTGCACTATACCCTACACTATACACTACACTATACACTACTATACACTACACTATACACTACTATACCCTACACTATACACTACTATACACTACACTATACACTACTATACGCTACACTATACACTACACTATACACGACACTATACACTACACCATTATACCCTACACTATACACTACACTATACACTACACTATACACTACACTATACACGACACTATACACTAAAATACGCTACACTATACACTACACTATACACTACACTATACACTACTATACACTACACTATACACTACATTATACACTACTATACACTACACTATACACTACACTATACACTACACTATACCCTACACTATACACTACACTATACACTACACTATACACTACTATACACTACACTATACACTACACGATACACTACACCATACTGGTCACCAATTGGCGCGTTGTTTACGTGACAAACCTGACTGGCCGTGTCTGCTGGCGGAGGGTGTACGACACGTTCACGCGCAAAGCGATCTAACAACCACCACCCACCACCCACCCACCCCACCCCACCCCCCCCCCAAAAAAAACAAAACACCTTCACCATGAACAATATTCAGAGTTCGAATTAGCCCGGGCGGGCGGCTGAAAGCCAGATTCACACCCAGGCTCTCGGCCGAGCGCCCGGATCGGCTTCCCCCGACCTCCACTCTGCGGACGGGCGCCCTACAGGTTCGGGAGGCGGCGGAGCGACGGGCGGCGGAGGGCCGGCTGCGACGGGCCGAAGCCTCGGACCGAGCCGCCGCGGACGCGGAGGCTCGGAGGTCCCTGGCGCGGGAGGACCGCGAGCGGGCGCTCGGGGCGGAGCGCGAGGAGGCGGAGATCCGCAGGGAAGCCGCCCGGCTCCGCTCCGCCCTCCGGCAGCGGCGGCAGCAGCAGCAGCAGCAGGAGGAGGAGCGGCGGAGAGCCGAGCACGAGCGGAGGTCGAGGTGAGAGATTAGCGAGGGGACGCGCGTCCGTTCAAACACGTCGCGTCTGCCCTCTCCCCGTGGTGCGCTCGGGGGGGGGGGGGGGGGGGGTTGGGGGGGTTGGGGGGGCGCTTCTCTTTTTTGTCCACCACAGAAGATGAGCCGTGCAACGCACCCGGCTCACTGACGCAGCCGCCGCACCCACACAACCAGCCAGCCAGCCAGCCACTCACCCAGCCAGCCAGCCAGCCACTCACCCAGCCAGCCAGCCACTCACCCAGCCAGCCAGCCAGCCACGCACCCAGCCAGCCACCCAGCCAGCCAGCCACCCAGCCAGCCAGCCACCCAGCCAGCCAGCCACTCACCCAGCCAGCCAGCCAGCCACCCAGCCAGCCAGCCACTCACCCAGCCAGCCAGCCAGCCACCCAGCCAGCCACTCACCCAGCCAGCCAGCCAGCCACCCAGCCAGCCAGCCAGCCACCCAGCCAGCCAGCCAGCCACCCAGCCAGCCAGCCACTCACCCAGCCAGCCAGCCACTCACCCACCCAGCCACCCAGCCAGCCAGCCAGTCAGCCACTCACCCAGCCAGCCACGCACCCACCCAGCCACCCAGCCACCCAGCCAGCCAGCCAGCCACTCACCCAGCCAGCCACCCAGCCAGCCAGCCACTCACCCAGCCAGCCACTCACCCAGCCAGCCACTCACCCAGCCAGCCACTCACCCAGCCAGCCACTCACCCACCCAGCCACTCACCCAGCCAGCCACTCACCCACCCAGCCACTCACCCACCCAGCCACTCATCCACCCAGCCAGCCACTCACCCAGCCACGCACCCAGCCAGCCAGCCACGCACCCAGCCAGCCACTCACCCACCCACCCAGCCACTCACCCACCCATCCACCGACCTACCTAGCCACCCACTCACCCAGCCAGCCACTCACCCAGCCAGCCACCCACTCACCCAGCCACGCACCCAGGCAGCCACTCACCCAGGCAGCCACTCACCCAGGCAGCCACTCACCCAGGCAGCCACTCACCCACCCACCCAGCCACTCACCCACCCATCCACCGACCTACCTAGCCACCCACTCACCCAGCCCGCTACCCAGCCCACTACCCAGCCACCCAACCACCCAGCCAGCCAGCCACTCAGCCACCCAGCCACCCAGCCACCCATCGGAAGCTATTCACATTCAAATCTAGATTGAAAACTCATTTCTTTGGAACTGCTTTGTCTGTTTTTTGTCCTTCCCCTGCACCTTCAATTAGCACAGTTGGATAGGTACGGTGCGAAAGAAGTTCAACACCCACCCGCTTACCCACCAACCCCAGCCCACCACGCCCACCCTACCCGCCTACCCACCCACCCCACCCCACCCACCAACCCCACCCCACCCACCTAGCTGGACAAGACCAATCTTATCCAGCAGCATTTGATTCAACAAGGACACTCTGAAACAGGGGGCGAGTCTCCGTCAGCAGACCCCGAAAGCCGAATCCGTTCGGGAGTTTGCCAGCTTAAACAAATCCTGCCTGGTAATCCTGGCATGGCAAGCCAATAGACGGATGGACTCGAAACACGAGCACACATTATACAGCGTGCTTCAAAAAAATGTTAACGCTTCCCGAGAATTCGCAACAAACACCACTCAAGCAAGAGACGCGCTGCCTCGGGGGCTCTGGAAACCAGCTTGGAGGAGATTCCAGACTTGGCGTCGACAACGATGGCGAACAAGTTGGGGAGAATACTCTTTGGTTCTATTGGGTAAAGTCACGTAGGTAAAAATATAAAATAACAAAAATCACGACGTTTCGGCCACAACACAAGCGGCCTTCATCAGGTGAAGGGGACCAGACTGTCTGGAGGACAGCGCTGGAGTGAAAAAAGCCACGCTCAGATCGCGACCTTTAAGCTGTGTGAGAAGAAACAAAGCGCCTTGACAAAGGAATTAGCATAGAATTTAGCATTGAAATGGCTGAGTGATTAGCTTGTGACTGGTCACAGAAATGGCTATGTTAAAGTTAAAGCATACACATCCGCAGAGGCACCCCTTGACAAAGAAATTAGCATAGAATTTAGCATTGAAATAGCTGAGTGATTAGCTTGTGACTGGTCACAGAAATGGCTATGTTAAAAGTTAAAGCATACACATCCTCAGAGGCACCCCTTGACAAGGGAATTAGCATAGAATTTAGCATTGAAATAGCTAAGTTAAAGTATACACATCCGCAGAGGCACCCCTTGACAAAGGAATTAGCATAGAATTTAGCATTGAAATAGCTGAGTGATTAGCTTGTAACTGGTCACAGAAATAGCTATGTTAAAGTCAGAGCATATACATTCGCCGAGGCACCTAGTACAAATCAAACAGGAGAATTTAGCGAAACACAACCACGCTCAGACCGCGGACCTTTAAGCTGTGTGCGAGCAAACAAGGTGTTCTGACGAAGAAAGCGATGTCCTCCAGACAGTCTCGTCCCTTCACCTGATGAAGGCCGCTTGTGTTGTGGCCGAAACGTCGTGATTTTTGTTATTTTATTTTTTTACCTACGTGACTTTACCCAATAGAACCAAAGAGTACGGATCCTTGCAGTCACGAAAGCTTCAAAATCTAGAAGTGGGGCGAATTTTGATTTAAAGCTTTCGTGACTGCAGGGATTCATATTGTTGGTTCTTTTGGTAAAGTCACCACCGCGTTAGATAGGGAAACAATAAAATGGCAAGAATATAAAGCAATAAAATTCTCACGACGTTTCGACCGCAACACAAAAAGCAATCATCATCAGGTGTGAAAACCACAGCAAGAAGGCAGCTCATTCCTAGCGAGGTGTTATTGCGAATTCTCGGGAGTGTTAACATTTTTTTGAAGCACCCGGTATAATGTCTGCTTGTGTTTCGAGTCAAATGTTCTTGCTGTGGTTTTTCACACCTGATGATGATTGCTGCTTGCGTTGCAGTCGAAACGTCGTGATAATTTTATTGTTCTATATTTTTTATTATTTCATTGCTTCCCTTCTACGTGGTGGTGACTTTACCGAAAGAACCAAGCATATGAGTGGGAGACTCTTTTTGGCATTTTGAAGCCATCGACACCACATTTGCCATCACGTTACTGTGTGTCCATCATCCGTTTCTTTTTCCATCCAAAACGACAGTCCCCTGTAAGTGTTAAAAAACACATTTTTTTTGGAGCGTGCAGTGCGTATGTATGTATGTATATACACACACACACGTGGGTAGTTTTTATTTTTTATTTTTTTGTCCACGCAACGATGACGACGGCGTGAATGAGTTTGCGTAGCGGGCGTTGTTCCCTTCCGCCCGGCGCGGTTTTTAATTCCCCGGCGGTTTTATCACGGCGGGCGGGCGGGCGGTGATTCCACCCGACGGCGCGGCCGTTACGACTTTAATGGTTCCGTCTCCTCGAATTGTTTTTTTTCCCATTAGCCGAGGAGCACCGTTCCCTCCCTCCCCCACCCCCCTCTCGTTTACCGAGCGTCGTCTCAAAATCACTCCCCCCCCCCCACCTCCACCACGCGCCCTCGTGCAGAGTGGTCGATCCCGGCCGCGCCGTGCTCAAAGCCGGTTCACCGCTCACACACACACGCTCACACACACACACTCACACGCTCACACACACGCGAGTGTGAGCGTGTGTGAGCGGCGTGGGGAGCGGCGGTGGTGTAGCAGGTTAGCGCTACGAACCCGGCGGCCCGGGTTCGATTCCCGCTCACGGCCAACGCCGCCGGTGACGGCGATCTGAACCGGTCCCGGGCCTCCCCCGAGGTCGACTCAGCCTCAAATGATGAGCTGGTGCGGTGTGTAGCGAACATGGCCACTGGGGGAGACAAAGGCGGCCGGGCGTGGCGCCGGCCACCCACCCCCCTCGTGTGCCGCCGTGCCGGCCTTCACAGGTGCCGCTACTCGCTAACAGCGCTTGCCCCAACAGTCTGTTAAGGCTACACGGGGGATCTTTGTCTTTGTATGCCAGCGTTGTGGGGAGCGGTGGTGTAGCAGGTTGGCGCTACGCTACGCTACGAACCCGGCGGCCCGGGTTCGATTCCCGCTCACGGCCAACGCCGCCGGTGACGGCGATCTGAACCGGTCGCGGGCCTCCCCTAGGTCGACTCAGCCTCAAATGACGAGCCGGTGCAGTGGCGCGTAAACATCGCGGGGCGTGGTGCTGGCCGCCCGCCTCCGGCCTTCACGGGGCGCTGCCCGCTAGCGGCACTTGCCCCAACAGTCTGTTGAAGGCTATATCGGCGGACATTCGCATGCAAGCACTGCGCATTGGTGGTGCGTCTGCCGGCCACCTCAGTCAAAACCCACGGCACCCGGGTCTGTCCCGTGACCTCCCGCCAGCAACGGGCCTTCCACACTCCATTCGAAGGCCTCGCGAGGGACGGTGCGCCTGGCGTGGCACGAGCGATGTGGTGACTTGGCGGCGATTTGGGTGGCACCCGCCCGCGTGTGGTGCGGGGAGCGGCGGGGCAGCGCGCCGACCCGCGGCGCCGCCGCTCCGGCGAGCCCCGCTGTCGATTCCCCGGTTCCCGGCCAACATCGACGGTCAATACCTGCCCGGCGCGCTTGCCGATCGCGTCCCGGTCAGCGGCAAACGACCGCGTTTCGCGAATGTCGGCGCAGCGGCGGCACCGGCGGCACCGGCGGCACCGGCGGCGCCGGCGGCACCGGCGACGCCGACGAAAGGGAGCGGCAGGAGCGGAGGCGAGGATCCGGCGCGCGCGAAACGACAGAGAATCGGTCGCGGAGGGCCCTGGAGCGAGCGGCCCGCGACCGGGAGCGGCTGCGCGGGCAGAGGGAGCTGCAGGCCCGGCTCCACGCCGAGAGGCTTAAGGTACACGGGGGGGGGGGGGGCGCCAGAGGGGGGGGGGGGGGGCTGAGGCAGGGACTGGGGGGGGGGGGGGGGTCCGTGCCAGAATGAAATCGACAATCTTCCCGCTCCCACTGGAACAATTTTCCATCCCCGGAGCCCCGAGCTGGTGGGCCAGTGGATATTTGCCTTCCTTCCCCTTGCAATGCACAGGCTGAGATTGGCGTAGGTGACGCGGTGTTACACCGCGTGCTCACGGCTTTGCCCCGAGGCAGTGGGAAACTACCGCTGGATCCCCTGTCGGTGACCCACACCCCCGCACACACCCACTAACCCACCAAAGCACGCGTCCGTCCGCCCGCCCACCCACTCACCTGGACAACCACCGACCCAGCCACCCAACCACCCACCCACTCATCCACCAAGCCGCCCACCCACTGAACCACCGACCGACCGACTCACCCACCCAACCACCAACCAACCCACCCAACCACCCACCCACCCACTCACCCACAAAACCACCCACCCACTAAACCACCGACCCACCCACCCAACCACCGACCAACCCACCCAACCACCCACAAAACCACCCACCCACTAAACCACCGACTCACCCACCCAACCACCAACCAACCCACCCAACCACCCACCCACTCACCCACAAAACCACCCACCCACTAAACCACCGACCCACCCACCCAACCACCGACCAACCCACCCAACCACCCAACCACTCACCCACAAAACCACCCACCCACTAAACCACTGACTCACCCACCCAACCACCAACCAACCCACCCAACCACCCACCCACCCACTCACCCACCAAACCACCCACCCACTGAAAAACCGACCCACCCACCCAACCACCGACCAACCCACCCAACCACCCACCCACTCACCCACAAAACCACCCACCCACTAAACCACCGACCCAACCACCCTTCCCTGTCTCCTTCTCTCGCCCACCCAAGTGCCTGTCTCGCTGCTTCTCGGCTTGGTACCGCCTGGCGCTGGAGCGGCGTCTAGCGCTGGGCAAGGCGCTGGCGTTGGCCGACTGGCGCCGCCGCCTGCGGGCGTTTGGGGCATGGAGGTCCCGGGCGAGGGCGCGGAGGGCGCGCAGGGAGACTGGGTGCGCTCGCAGCGACCTCCGGGAGGAGCACAGGTGAACGGGGAGACGGTCGCTCCAACGGGTCCGTCGGTCGACGCCCTCGTCATCACGTGATACCACGGAGGTCAATAGCATGTCGAATTCATCATCATCACGTGATACCACGGAGGTCAATAGCATGTCGAATTCATCATCATCACGTGATACCACGGAGGTCAATAGCATGTCGAATTCATCATCATCACGTGATACCACGGAGGTCAATAGCATGTCGAATTCATCATCATCACGTGATACCACGGAGGTCAATAGCATGTCGAATTCATCATCATCATCACGTGATACCACGGAGGTCAATAGCATGTCGAATTCATCGTCATCACGTGATACCACGGAGGTCAATAGCATGTCGAATTCATCATCATCACGTGATACCACGGAGGTCAATAGCATGTCGAATTCATCATCATCACGTGATACCACGGAGGTCAATAGCATGTCGAATTCATCATCATCACGTGATACCACGGAGGTCAATAGCATGTCGAATTCATCATCATCATCACGTGATACCACGGAGGTCAATAGCATGTCGAATTCATCGTCATCACGTGATACCACGGAGGTCAATAGCATGTCGAATTCATCATCATCACGTGATACCACGGAGGTCAATAGCATGTCGAATTCATCATCACCACGTGGTGCCAAGTCGGGAATTATCATGTGGAGTTCATCAATATCACGTAGAATTTACCATCGCCAGGGGTCGTAATTGTTCCCGTAAATTTTTTTCCCGCCGTGATTGTTCCCGGGACGCCAGCTGCGTAGTTTTGCCCCGTGATTTTTTCCCTGGGTGCAATTTCCGCAAAATCTCTCCCGTAACTCTCCGCGCAAAATTTTTCTCCGTAAATTTTCCCGATACATTTTTTTCCCCCGCGATCTTTCCCCCTGGTCGACAGCCGCGTAATTTTCCCCCCCGTAAAAAAAAATGTTTTTTTTGCTCAATCCCTCCCGAGATTTTCCGCGTCATTTCCCCCCCTCCCCCGTGACATTTCCCCGTTAAATTTTTCCCGCCTTATTCTACCGCGTCGTTTTTCCTCCGTGAATCCCGCCCCGTGGTTTCGCCCTTGACGGGGTCAGGCGGCAGCGGTAACCCTTCCCCCCCTCCACCACCCCTCCACCAGGAAAACCTTGGCGGCCGAGGAGAGCCACCGTCTCCGCACGCTGGGCTCCCGCCTGGCCGCCTGGCGCGGGTGGGCCCGTCGCGAGAGGGAGGGCCGCGAGCTGGCCCGCCGGCGTGACGAGACGCGCCGCAAGATGGAGGCGCTGCTGCGGGCGGCCGCTGACGGGGCGCTGACGCGGCCCGAGGATCGGGCGGCCCGGGAGGGGCACGCGGAGCGGCGTGGCGCGCGGGAGGGAACGCGAACTCAGGTGGAGACGGGGTGGTGGTGGCGGTGGTGGTGGTGGTGGTGGCGGTGGTGGTGGTGGCGGTGGTGGTGGCGATGGTGGTGGCGATGGTGGTAGTGGTGGTGGTAGTGGTGGTGGTGGCGGTGATGGTGGCGGTGGTGGTAGTGGCGATGGTGGCGGTGGTGGTGGTGGTGGTGGCGGTGGTGGTGGTAGTGGTGGTGGTGGCGGTGGTGGTGGTGGTGGGGGTGATGTTGGTGGTGGTGGTGGCGGTGGCGGTGATGGTGGTGGTGGTGGTGGCGGTGGTGATGGCGGTGGCGGTAATGGTGGTGGTGGCGGTGGTGGTCATGGTGGTGGTGGTGATGATGGCGGTGGTAATGGTGGTGGCGGTGGTGGTGGCGGTGGTGGTCATGGTGGTGGTGGTGATGATGGTGGTGGTAATGGTGGTGGCGGTGGCGGTGGTGATGGCGGTGGTGGTCATGGTGGTTGTGGTGAGGGTGGTGATGATGGTGGTAGTGAAGATGGTGGTAGTGAAGACGAAGAGTAATGATGGTGTTTCGTTTGTTGTACTTCCCCCGCACCTTCGTACGGTGCAAAATTAATTCAACATAGTGCATACATATGTGAAGAAGAAAACTGATGATGATGGTGAAAAAATAAGAATAGGCTTCATCCTTTCTTGCAATAAATCAGCTCTTAACCACACAGTACTTGTGGCAAAAAAAAACACATTAATCAGGTGTTAAGATGTTCCGACACCAAATACATTATAACTTTTGCAAGGAATCATGTCTGCGTTGACCACACACACTTGTGGTGAACATGCAATGCTTGCATTGATAATACATACAATGATAATACATGCATTGATAATACATGCAATGATAATACATGTATTGATAATACATACAATGATAATACGTGCAATGATAATACATGCAATGGTAATACATGCAATTATAATACATGCAATGATAATACATGCAATGGTAATACATGCAATGATAATACATGCAATGATAATACATGCAATGGTAATACATGCATTGTCTTAGAAATAGATTCCCATACACCTCGTTTGTTGATGATGATGGCGATACTCTTGTAGTGATTGTGCTGCTGCTGCTGATGATGATGATACGAGCAATGACTGCTCCTGCTTACGATGATGATGATGACGACGATGTGATGATGACGATGATGACATTAATGATGACAATGTTGACGGCGATGATGATGATGATGGCGATGATAACGATGATGATGACGGTGATGACAACGATGATGATGACGATGATGACGATGATGATGATGATGACGACGATGATGACGATGATGATGCACCGACTCCGCTGGCTCCGATCGTGGTTGTCTGGCTCGACCACCTGAATGTGAAATTTCTCTGCATCTACATCAGCCGTACTACAATAATAAGTGATGGGCGGTGGTGATGATGATGATGGTTGATGATGAGTGACGGTTATTGCTGCTGTTGCCGCTGATGATGATTGTAGTGTTAGTGATAATTATACTCTAGGAGTGATTACAATGATGATCGTGTTAATCATGTTTGTGATGATGATGATGATAATGATCGTGTTGCTGCTGCTGATGATTATGATGACCGTCTTGCTGCTGCTGATGATGATGATAGTAAGGAGTAATGGCTGGTGCTGCTGCTGCTGATGATAGTGTCAATTCCACTCATAATGTTGATGAATATCATCTTGCTCCGTGCTGCTTCTGGTGATCATATTGATGATGGTGCTGTTGCTGATTATATCGTCAATGACGATGCTGATTAGGATTGATTTACTGCTGCTGCTGTGTCTTTTCGGAATACAAATCCCTCCGCAAACCGCCTCCAACAGCCTAGCCGGCAGCCCCGACGCAGTAATCTTATTTAAAACAATCGAGTGCATTTTGAAGTTTCAACACGTAGGAGGCTTTCGCGAACAATATCATCCGTAATACAAGGGGGGGTGGGTTGGTTGTTTTTTCGTTGGGTTATATCGCTTAGAGACATAAATGTGTCTTTCGACCCGCCACCGTCCGACACGGCCAATTCAGTAAGGTTTGTGTCACGTGAACAGAACGTGCCAATTCGTTACTCGTACTGGCCTGGCTCTCCAACAGGCAACCAGGTGTGCTGGACTAGTATACTACACTATACACTATACACTACACTATACACTATGCTATACACTACACTATACACTACACTATACACTACACTATACACTACACTATACACTACACTATACACTACACTTCTAGTGCTGTACTAGTATACTACACTATACACTACACTATACACTACACTATACACTACACTTCTAGTGCTGTACTAGTATACTACACTATACACTACACTATACACTAGTGCTGTACTAGTATACTACACTACACTATACACTACACTATACACTAGTGCTGTACTAGTATACTACACTATACACTACACTATACACTACACTGTACACTAGTGCTGTACTAGTAACGAATTGGCCACGTTCTGGCCGTGTCGGGTGGTGGCGGGTTTAACGACACAACATCTACATATATCACGCGCTCTATCCCACCAAAAACCCGTATCACGGAGCATCACAAACAACAAAACAACAACAACAACAACAGCAAAAATCCCAACGACCATAAACCTTCTCACCTTTCCAGAATAACGTCGCCTCGCCACGCGTCCGTTTTAAACGCGACGCTTTGTCAGCGGTTGTGTTGCGCTCCATCCATCGTCCCGTTCCACACCCCCCCCCCGCCCCCCAATCCCACCCCCCCCCCCCCCCCCCAAACCGCCCGCACCCCACCCCCGCAACGTTCCCCGATTCAAATAGATTACGACGGACGACCGGGGCACGTCGCCGCCCCGATCCGTCAGCGAAAGCGGCGCATCAATCGTTGCGGGGCCCCGCGTCTCCCCGCCGGCGACGGGCGACCTGGGGGCGTCTCCGAGGAGTGGCGACGCGGGGACCACTCGGGCCGGAGGCCGCCCGGGGGCCGCGACGAGGACGCCCCGGCCTTGGGCAGCGTCGTTTAGATGTGACGGGGACGGAGGGGTCGGGCGGCGGCGTGGGCAGCGGCGGGAGCAGCGGCAGCAGCAGCAGGAGCAGCTGCAGCAGAAGAAGCAGAAGAAGCAGGAGCAGCAGCAGGAGAAGCAGGAGCAGCAGCAGGAGCAGGAGCAGCAGGAGAAGCAGCAGCAGGAGCAGCAGCAGGAGCAGCAGCAGCAGCAGCAGGAGAAGCAGCAGCAGGAGCAGCAGAAGAAGCAGAAGAAGCAGCAGCAGCAGGAGAAGCAGCAGCAGGAGCAGCAGCAGGAGCAGAAGGAGCAGCAGAAGAAGCAGGAGCAGCAGCAGCAGGAGAAGCAGGAGAAGCAGCGATGTCTGCTTTCGTCCACCGGCGGCAGGTCGGGTTTGAGAAACGCCGCGCCGGTTTTTGCCGAAGTCCGGCCGGAGGTTTTTTGTGTGTGTGTGTTTTTAAAACAAACAAACAAACAAAAAACGATTCGAACATTTTTATTGTTACCAGGTAAGGCCCCCGCTGAGCTCAGCGAAGTGGCCTTCCATCATCGGTTGGAAATGCATCGCAGCAGCCAAATATTCTCAACGCACGGCGATTCTAAATGTGGAGGGGAAAATGACCGGAGGACCCGGGGAAAAATCCGCGCGACCACGGGGAGAGAGAGACGCAAACTCCATACAGCGTTTAAAGCAGCAGGCGTCAGGGTTGGGATCGAACGCAATACCTCCTGTATACCAGGCGAGGTAGTTAACATCTCCTAGCCACCATGATGATGAGAGAGACACGCAAACTCCAAATATACAGCAGCAGGCATCGTCAGGGGTAGGGCTCAAACCCACGACCTATACACCAGGCGAGGTAGTTAACATCTCCTAGCCACCGTGATGATGATGAGAGAGAGACACGCAAACTCCAAATATACAGCAGCAGGCATCGTCAGCGTAGGGCTCAAACCCACGACCTCCTGTATACCAGGCGAGGTAGTTAACATCTCCTAGCCACCATGATGATGAGAGAGACACGCAAACTCCAAATATACAGCAGCAGGCATCGTCAGCGTAGGGCTCAAACCCACGACCTCCTGTATACCAGGCGAGGTAGTTAACATCTCCTAGCCACCATGATGATGAGAGAGACACGCAAACTCCAAATATACAGCAGCAGGCATTGTCAGGGGTAGGGCTCAAACCCACGACCTATACACCAGGCGAGGTAGTTAACATCTCCTAGCCACCATGATGATGAGAGAGACACGCAAACTACAAATATACAGCAGCAGGCATCGTCAGGGGTAGGGCTCAAACCCACGACCTCCTGTATACCCCCCCCCTCCCCCCCGCCTGTCGACTCAGCTTCAAATCAGTAACCCGGTGCGGCGCGTTCAAAAACACCGCCGCTAAGGGAGACAAAGGCGGCCGGGCGTGGTCGTGGTGGCCACCCACGCCCTCGCGTGCCGCTCGCTAACAGCAACCTGCGGTCTGTTGAAGGCCACGCGGGCGGTCCGGGTGGAGGGTGAGGGGTGTGTGGGGGGAATCTCTGTCTTTGGTGCACGTGTGATCGCCAGCAGGGCCGACGTTTCCCAAGAGCTGCCTGCCAAGTGCCGCCCTCCACCCGCAGCTAACCGGGTGGTTAAAGGTGAAGGATTGTGGGTCGGGTGGTTGAGGGGGGAGGTGGGGGCTGGTGGGGAGGTGGTGGTTTGGGGGGGGGGGGAGGGAGGAGGGGTCAGGTCGTAAGGTCACGGCCTAACATTACGGGACGTAAAGATGACAAATTTACCCTTCCGGTGGCCGTAAATCACCGGGCAGTGAGTCAGGGCGCCCGCGCTGGGAGCGTCGCCCCCGGCCGCTAATGAATAGCGCGGCCACCAAAGCGGACCGCCTCGCGCTGCGATGTCTCATGGCAACGATCATGATCAGAGTATTGATATTACCGCGGCCGCTGTGTCTAAGTGTCCCGCTGCCCGTCCGCGTGGCTCTTTATTTGCGTGTCCCGTTTGCGTGTCTCGTTGAGTGTCCCGGTTGAGTGTCCCGTTGAGTGTCCCGTTGAGTGTCCCGTTGAGTGTCCCGTTGAGTGTCTCGTTGAGTGTCCCGTTGAGTGTCCCGTTGTGTGTCCCGTTGAGTGTCCCGTTGAGTGTCCCGTTAAGTGTCTCGTTGAGTGTCCCGTTGAGTGTCTCGTTGAGTGTCCCGTTGAGTGTCCCGTTGAGTGTCCCGGTTGAGTGTCCCGTTGAGTGTCCCGTTGAGTGTCTCGTTGAGTGTCCCGTTGAGTGTCCCGTTGAGTGTCCCGGTTGAGTGTCTTGTTGAGTGTCCCGTTGAATGTCCCGTTGTGTGTCTCGTGTGTTCCGTTGTGTGTCACGTTGAGTGTCCCGTTGAGTGTCCCGTTGTGTGTCTCGTTGAGTGTCTCGTGTGTTCCGTCGAGTGTCCCGTCGAGTGTCCCGTCGAGTGTCCCGTTGAGTGTCCCGGTTGAGTGTCCCGGTTGAGTGTCCCGTTGAGTGTCTCGTCGAGTGTCCCGTAGAGTGTCTCGTTGAGTGTCCCGTTGAGTGTCCCGTTGAGTGTCTTGTTGAGTGTCCCGTTGAGTGTCCCGTTGAGTGTCCCGTCGCGTGTCCCGTCGCGTGTCCCGTCGCGTGTCCCGTCGAGTGTCCCGTCGAGTGTCCCGTCGAGTGTCCCGTTGAGTGTCCCGTTGAGTGTCCCGTTGAGTGTCCCGTCGCGTGTCTCGTTGAGTGTCCCGTTGAGTGTCCCGTTGAGTGTCCCGTTGAGTGTCTCGTTGTGTGTCCCGTTGAGTGTCTCGTTGAGTGTCCCGGTTGAGTGTCTTGTTGAGTGTCCCGTTGAGTGTCCCGTCGAGTGTCCCGTCGCGTGTCCCGTCGCGTGTCTCATCGCGTGTCCCGTCGCGTGTCCCGTTGAGTGTCCCGTTGAGTGTCCCGTTGAGTGTCCCGTTGAGTGTCCCGTCGAGTGTCTCATCGCGTGTCTCATCGCGTGTCCCCCCCCGTTGCCGTGGCAGCCATGGAGGAGCGCGCCGCGTCGCGGGCAAGTCGCAAGAAGGAGCTGGAGGAGAGGAGGAGGCAGAGGGAGGATGAGCGCCTGGTACCGCAACACGCACACCCGTGGCCGCGAACCCATCCCCGCTCGCCCGCCCGCCCGCCCGCTAGCTCCGCTCCCACGTCGCTTTGGGAACTTCGGTCGTGCGTGGTGCTGGCCACCCACCCCCTCGTGCTCCGTGACGGCCTTCGTAGGCGATGGTGCTCGCTAGCAGCACTTGCCCCGGCAGTCTGCGAAGGCTACACCGGGGGGGGGGGGGTCTTTGTCGTTTTTACCTGTGCATATCGCTGTGTATATGTGTGTGTGTGTGTGTTGATGCGTGGTGCTGGCCACCCACCCCCTCGTGCTCCGCGACGGCCTTCGTAGGCGATGGTGCTCGCTAGCAGCACTTGCCCCATGGCGATGGAGTGCGGGCGGCAGTGGCGGTGGTGGTTGTGGTGGTTGTGGTGTTGGTTGTGGCGCGGTAGATGGTCATCTCAGTCGGTCGACCCGTGGCACCTGCTGGGTCTGCCCCGTGACCTCCTGGCGGCGGGCGTTCGACGCTGCACGTGGCCTCGACGTGCACCTAGCCTGGCACGAGCGCCGTGGTGACGTCGCCGCCACTTAGTGGCGAATGGCGGTTGTTGTTGTTGTTGGTGCTTGTGGTGGCGGTGGTGGTTGTGGTGGTGGTTGTGGTGGCGACGGTGGTGGTGGTAGTTGTGGTGGTGGTGGTTGTGCTGGTGACGGTAGTGGCGGTGGTGGTTGTGGTAGTGGTTGTGGTGGCGACGGTGGTAGTGGTCGTGGTTGTGGTGGCGACGGTGGTAGTGGTGGTGGTTGTGGTGTTGGTGTTGGCAGTGGTGGTGGTTGTGCCGGTGATGGTGGTGGTGTTTGCGGTGGTGGCATCACCGGCATCGGCCAACGATGACATCTCGAACTCTATCCCAGCCATCGGCTCCCTCCCTCCCTCCCTCCCTCCCTCCCTCCCTCCCTCCCTCCCTCCCTCCCTCCCTCCCTCCCTCCCTCCCTCCCTCCCTCCCTCCCTCCCTCCCTCCCTCCCTCCCTCCCTCCCTCCCTCCCTCCCTCCCTCCCTCCCCTCCCTCCCTCCCTCCCTCCCTCCTCTTTTTTCGCTGTAACGAGCAGAAGAAACACAGAGACGCTCGGCCTTTCGGCACTTTGCTTCGTTCATCATGTCGTCTCTTTTTTTGTCTTTTTTTGTTTGCTTATGTGCCCCCCCTTTTTCAAATCAAAGCTATAACGCGGGTTTCCCGTGTAACGTGAGTCCCATTGTGTGCTGCTGTGTTCATTAACACCAGCAAAAAATAAAGAATTCAGCCTTAAAAACCCCATCACCATTCTGCCTCTAAAAACCCCATCACCAGATCCCCTGCTTTCGTCACGTGACACAAAGCGCCCTCGGTACCCCAACGCGTCGAGAAGGACGCGACAACCCACCGTCAACTGAGCGTGCCGAAATTCCAGCAAAAATTCTGGCAGAAACCCAGAGGGCCTTGACGATGCGGCAGTGTGCTGGGGAAGCCGCTCCCGTCAATTGCGCATTTCCTGGCCCTATAGATGGCCAGTTTGGTGTTGTTCATGATGAATTTCGTCAACCCCTCTATATCCGTGGTACCCTCGTGCACCCTATATCCAAAAAATAAGAATTTGTGGGTGAGAAATGAAGATGGAATTTCAGTAGAATATTGCGCAGCAGCTTCAAGAGCGATTCTAGGCTTGTGCAGCGTACGTATTGATGCGCCACTGTTTCGAGCTCACCACAGAATATGAATTCCGGATTTGTCTCTGTGAAAAGTGCCAGGAATGTGTTCGTGGTCACAGTCCCATGGGCAATGCTCCAGCTGAGATCACCGTGGCGCTTGTTACGATGGGATTTGTGTTAAACGGCTCCCAATGAGGCCTCAAGCGATCACCGCAGGGCATCGCGTCCCTCCAAGCGTAGCCCTCACGTGACGTTATTATTATTATTATTTGCTGATGGTGGAAATCGACCATTTGGGCGTACAGCTTCTTCCGCTCGACACCTGAGAAGCGCCCCTCCTCCTGGCCATTCCCCACGGTGTGCCCCCCGTGCTGCCGTGAGGAAGAGAGGCGAGTGTGCTCCCGTGCTGGGGCGACATTCAGCCTTGGTGGCACTGGGCCACCGCCGGCTGACTCGTCGCCAGCGCTCACAGCAGGCGCGCTCCCCACACTGCTGTTGAGAAAGACGTTCGTACCTCATTCACGAGTTTTGCGGCGAGTCTCACCGAGTGCATCTTGGTCATCGCAGCTATCTCGGCAGGGAGAAGCCACTGGCCCCTCCGTGCCTGGTCTCACCAGATCGCCCACCCTCGTGAGGCGTGCGTCCACCACGCGTTTCTCCATGGCAGGGCCCACAAAAGAGAGGGTTAGTGCCATGTTGGGGTTCCGTAACAGCGGCTCGTGAGCGAATTCTGACGCCGACCGGGGTGTGTTCAGTCGGGCGGTGACAAGGAAACTCCAGGCATGTAGGATACTCCTGTAGAAGTGGGGAATCTGCGCGAGTGGAACACCCTGTAATGTCCATGAAGAAGAGCTGTTTGCTGCACTGAAGGCCTCCGAGGTCATTCAGGAAAAAAAAGATGCTGTGGAACACCACACGGGTGATGGGGCCGTGTAGAGAGACCTCTGTACGGCTTGTAGACGAAACGTAGAGAGCTGGCTCCGTACGCACACCAGACCCTTGCCCGCCCTCCCCGCAGTGGCAAGGCCAAGATACCAGCAGCCACGCGGTGCTTCCTCTGCGACCAGAAGATGGCAGCTATCAGTCTCCGAAGTTGTGCTATGAGGCACGCGGGTGGAGTGAGGGAAAAGAAGCGGTGCCACAAGGTGGATGCAACCAACTGGTTCGCCACCGGGGGGGGGGGGGGGTTTGTCCCTCTAAACGTGAGAGACTTGCGCAGACGCCCCCAAGGCTCCAGTCGTTTCCTCGCCCTCTCTTCCAAGAAATCCCAATTTTTCCTGCAGTGGTTTGTTCTCCCGGTCCCCAGGAGCACGCCGAGATGGTGAAGCTCTCTCACTCTTTTGCTCCACGTTATTGTTTTGGCCAACTCAGGGAACCGGGCTTCGTCCCACTTCCCAACAAGCAGTCCACTGCACTTCTCCCAGTTCATGCTGGAGGAGGATGGACGCGGTGGAGTAAACCTCTTGGCACTCGTACAGCCGCTCGATGTCGTCAAAACTCAGTAAGGAGAGGAGGATGTCGTCGGCACACGCTGTGAGGGTCACTCACATACTGGGCTCTTTTAGAGTTAGTCCGGTGAGTCGGCGTCGGAGCAGACGCAGAAAAGGCTTCACGACGAGGGTACAGAGCTGTCCTGACATAGGACAGCCTTTGCCTGACACCTCTTCTGAAATCTATAGGAGCAATTAGTCCACCATTCACTTTAACCAGACACTGGGCCATGTTGTACAGCAGACTAATCAATGCTATGAAGCGGGTCCCAAAACCAAAAGCTTTCAAGAAGATACTGGTGATTAACCCTGTCAAAGGCTTTCTCTTGATCAAGGGAGAGAAAGGCATAGTGGAAAGTCCAAATGCTCCGACAGACTGATCAAATCTCTGCCCAGGAAAGTCCCGCCATGGATGGTCCTCCCTGGAACAGCGTATGCCTGGTCATTGGTAATAACCCGAGCCAACACCCTCTTACACCTTGCGGACGCAGCTTTCGCGAGAATCTTATAGTCTGTGCTCAACACTGAGACTGGACGCCAATTTTTGAGGTGTCTGAGGTCGCCCTTTTTCGGAATCAGTGTGAGCACGGCTCTCCTCCAGGACCGAGGCATCACGTTGGTCTCCACCGCTTCATCCAGAACGGCTTTGTAATCCTTGCGTATGGAGTGCCAAAAATGGTGATAAAACTCCCCTGTCAGCCCATCGATCCCTGGTGATTTGTTCCTGTCCAGGAAACTCACTGCCATGTCCAGGTCGTTTTTTCGACCTCTTCTTCTAGAAGGTCCCTGTCCTCTTCACCCAAAGTAGGCAGGTCCTTCCAGATTTAATTCTGGGCCACTGTGGATATATGCTCTGGAGAGAAGAGATTTCCATAGTGCTGTGCTACTGTCTTAGCTATCTGATTATCGTTTGTAACAGGGACCCCCTTGTCATCAAATAAATGCTCCATGGCTTTGCGTCTCCCATTCTGCTTCCCTAATGAGAAAAAGTGTCGAACTGGAGTCCATAGCAAGGGCATCTTTAAAACGAGAGCGTACAAATGCCCGTTTTGCCTTTGCTTTCTGAAACACTTTTAGACAGTCTAGGGTCTCCACGTATTCCTGCAGTAGGCCTGGATCGTCCCCAATCTTCCGCCTTTGCTCTAAAGTATGGACACTGTTCTCCAGCTCACCAATTTCTCGGTCAATATTTGTTGTGTTTCCCCAGGCGTACAACTGACACAGTTTTTTTAATGTTTACTTTCCCTATGTCCCACCATAGTGCTAGGTTATTAAACCGATCTTTCTTTCCCTGCCACTCCACCCAGAAGACCCCAAAAAGATGAGTTAAGGTGGTGTCTTGCAAAAGGGCATTATTGAAATGCCAGTATGCCGATCCCCTTGGGACCTCTCGTATTTTCATTTCAAGTAGTATTAGGCGATGATCGGCCGGTGGTGCCGCCTGAATTCTGGACGACGCTGCACTATTTTCAAAATCTTTTGAGATGTAGAACCGGTCAATCCCTGACTGCGACAGTGTTCTGTCAGCTCGGGTTCTCGCAAAGCTGAAAGCTCGCTGCTTTTTGGATGTTGCGTCCGCCGCACGTCTGCGAGACTGCGCGTGCGGAGCACGTGCCGCAAGGTGTCCAGGACACCGCCTTTGGACTGCTCGGTGCAAGTGCGGTCGAGGACATCGAGCGTGCAGTTGAAATCTCCTCCCAAAATCGGACACTCGTCATTCGGGATGTTTTTTTAGATGGTCCTGTAGCTCATTGAAAAAATTCAGTTTTTCCGCATCATCGATGGGGGTGTAGATGTCTATGAGGTGGACAGAAATGTCATTAAGTTTGATCGTCACGTCGAGGGCTCTTCCCGGTACT